GCAATTTCTTGCTTTAGAACTGCTAGGTTGGCAGGAGCTGAAACTAGAGACGGGAGCTCACTCCATCATGCGGCACACTCGGGTCTCGAACTGCTGAACTACCGACCTTCCACAGACTGCAGTTCAGCATCTTAACCACTTGAGCCACCGCAACTCTTTTACTATTTATTACAGGTCTGCATAGCTTCACTCACTAACATTTTGCAGCTGGCCCCACCACCTTATGGCAGCCATTCTACGGTTGCAACCACCACCCTTTCGCAGAATTCCAAAGGTGCCTGCAGGCCCCCAAAATTTGGGGATACCAAATTATTTTATTTCTATTGATTTATATCCCACCCTCTCCTTGATGGCCTCAGGGCGGCTTCCGACAATAAAATACAATACAATTAAAACAATTTACAAAACAATTTACATTTTAAAGTACAATACAGCATCGCTTAATAAAATTCTAATAAGAACCAGATGTCTCAGTGGTTAATGATGTCAAATTTAAAGTTTTTGCTTGGAGAGCCTTAAAATTTAGGATCTCAAAGGACCCAGGCTACTGACGGAGGAACCCAATGAGGGGAGTCACCGCTGCCTCAACCAACCTTGCCCGGCGGAAGAGCTTTGTCTTGCAGGCCCTGTGGAATTGTAGTAAATCCCGCAGGGCCCTGATCTCACACGGAAGCTCATTCCACCAGGCAGGGGCCAGGGCAAGTCAGACATCCCTGGGAAGATGTTGGTTGATGTTGATGCAGAAAAGAAATGCTTTGACATCTATATGTATGCATATAACACCGGCACCTGGGATTCAGTATTCAGACAGCAAGAACCTTGCAGCGTGGTTAGGCCTATCTATAAGGAAAAATGAAGCGCTTCTTTTCTTAAGCATGCCAAGAAACCCCGCCCTCTGAAATACCACAGCAAAGAGTGTGTGAATAAGAGAGTTCACTATATGCTACATGAAAATAAAGAGTAAGATAGGGGGGAAATATAGCTGTAAAGGAAAAGAACAAACTAGAAAAACCTGCAGACAGTCCGGGTACCATATACTAGCACCCAAGATGTAAAATGGAAAAGTAAGGTATATCAGATGCTAATAACAGTGCGTAAAGGCAGAGCAGTCCCAAGCGCTCATCCTGTGATGGTCTGTTGTGTAGTTCTTTATCGCTACAGCAGATGTTGCCATTACTCAGGGTTCAAATATGGGGCAAAAATAAACCAAAGATTATTAAGAGAAACACCAAACGTAGTGGCTCTCCTCTGACGTTTGCAGAAACCGGACCGGAGAGGGTGTGTGTGAAATGGTTAGACCTCCACTGCAGAGCTAGACTTCCATACACCTGAAAGTTATACGGAGAAGCATGATAATGAAACAGAAGCTGGCCCTGAGAACTTCTCAGCCAGTCCTATTACTGCTCAAGAGGGGGAAATTACACAAGTGGTATAAGGCGCTAAAATAGAGAAAGATCACATGCATTCACGCACGAGGTTAAGAGGGAAGGGTCTTAAAAGAGAGCTAGTTATTAATTGATATATCTCATGGCCTTCTGTCTGCATCCTTATGATGATGTCACAAGAATTAGACCGCATCAAGGACAGATGTTGTAGCGGCCACTAGTTACAAGCAGAAACTCCAGGTCCAAAGTCAGCATGCATCTGCCAATCAAACACAGAGTGGAAGTGCAAAAGGCAGATGTCTGCCACTGATGCCATGCTGCAACTGTCCCCTCCCAGTTTGGTGTAGTGGCTGAGTGCGCTGACTCCAGTCTGGAAGAATTGGGTTTGATTCCCCCACTCCTCCGCTTGCACCTGCTGGATGACCTCGGGCAAGCCATAGTTCTGTCAGAGCTGTTCTTGAAAAAGAGCAGTTTCTGTCAAGAGCTCTCTCAGCCCCGCCTACCTCACAGGGTGCCTGTCGTTAGGAAGGGAAAGGAGATTGTCAGCCGCTCTGAGACTCCCTTGGGTAGTGAAGGGCGGGGTACTAATCCTATCATCATCTTCTTTCCATGGGCCAGTTATGCTTCTTGGGTTGCCATCTGCTCCCTCACTAAAGGAAGCCTGCCTGGCATCAACCAGAGCTTCTGCTCTCTTTAGTGCAGCTCCCACTTTGGGGAAAGGGTTCACTGAGGAAGTCAGACTTGGTGTGGGGGGCATGCTGTCTTTAGAAATGTTTAGTGGGCACACTACATGACCATGGGGGGGGGGGTATTTGTGAATCTCCTGAATAGTTTCACAAGCATACATATCAGAATCAGACAATCAACACACAGGTTCCTTTAGATATAAAGAAAAGAATATAAAATAGTTTCCCATAGTTACTTTGGAGTTTGAGATAGGCGTTCGCAAAATACTTGCCTTATCCAGAAGCTGTCTTGTAGCAATAGTAGGTTGGAGACTAAGGAAAGGATCTCTGGTATTAATAGTAGCTCTTCCACATTGCTTTGGAACAATGCCAGCTAATGTGGGCATGAAGTCTCTGCAGCTGCAAGGCTGTGCAGCTCCAGAGAGTCCACACACACAAAAGAGCCTTAAAGGAAAGGTGGTGGTGGTGGTTTGGTGGCTAAGCCATGTGCAGGGCTAGTTAAAGGGTAGGGGCAGGGTGCTGGGTGAAGTGCAGAGATTCAACATGTGCTCTCTGCGTTAAGTAGTGGAATTCTACAGGGGGGAGGCGCTGGCCTCCTGGTGTCCCGCCTTTTCTCTAAGACCAACCCATGGATACTTTGGATTGGTTGCAGGTGTAAAGGGGCAGGTTTTCCCTAGGGGATGGACAATGTTGTGATTCTAGATGTTAGCTTATGGTCACCACCTGGCTGGGTGTGAGGCGTGTCTTCCTGCATCTTCAAGGCATCTCCTATTGTTGTGTTGATGACCCTCTGGCTTCAGCATCTTGCCAAAGTGTTGCAAACAGGAAATTGATTCAAATGCAGATTTGTGTTTCTGCCTTTGTGACATCTCTGTCTCTCAGTAATGGAGAATATGCAGCCAGAAGTTGTCCTTTTCTCTAACAAAGAACTCACCATGTTGTCTTGCTCCCATAATCCTTTACTGACTGTAGGTGCGTGTGTCAAGCTCCATTTACATGAACACAGCAGGCAAAAGCCTGTCAGGTAAACAGACCAAGTCACAGCAGATGAGACACACACAGCCTTGCCCAAGTCCATGTGGATTTGTGAGCATAGTCCAGGGCATGTGTCCTTGTGTAAGCAAATATTTATTCACCAATAAGTTCATCTCCTAACAGGGGGGTGGACTAGATGGCCTGGAGGCTCCTTCCGACTCTAGGACTCTATGATTTAATCTGCCAGGGTACTTAATGGGGTATATCTCTCTGAGCTACCACTTGCCATTTATTTTGTTGGGTTTTAAAGTGTGCTGTTTTTAATTATGATTGGTAAGCTGCCTTCTTCACAAGGAAAGGTGGGATATAAATACGTTAGTAAACAAATAACCCATACCACAGCCTTGTGAGATAAGCCAGTATTATCCCCACATCGCAGACAGAAGGAATAACAGAGAAAGCAGGGCTTACCTAAGACTACAAAGGGGTAGACCGTGTTAGGCTGCTATAGCAAAATGAAACAAAAGTCCAGCGACACCTTAGGGAAAAGTTATTTCAATATAACTTCGGAAGAGTCCTGCTGGATCAGACCAGTGAGGGTCCATCTAGTCCAGCATCCTGTCTCACTCAGTGGCCAATGCCAACCAGTCCCCCTGGAGGGCCAACAACAGGGCACAGATGTAGCCCCCTGGCTCTGGGGATTCAGAGACACGGAGAACAAACCGGCAATCCTAAGACTAGCTGCACTGCTAATAAATAATGAAGGGAGGCTGAGAAGAGATCTGTACTGGCAGCCTTCCAGATCACAGCTCATCTCTGAACTGTGCTACATCATGGTTGCGTACCTTACAGGGCTGTTAGAAAGAACAACTCTCTGAACTGTGCTACATCATGGTTGAACTGACGTACCTTACAGGGCTGTTAGAAAGAACAAAAAGGGAGGCTGGGGGAGAAAGAGGAAAGGATGACACCACTTAGAGCTCTTTGAAGAGCGAGCCACTGCCATAAATTCATGGCTCGGCAAACTGTGAGAATGTAAGAAGAGCCGTGACAGATCAGACTGAAGGTTCACCCAGTCCGGCAGCCTGTTTCCAGCAGCAGATGCCAGAAGGAGCGCCTGCAGACCCACCCCGCAGTGGCCTGCACTCCAGCACACAACCATCCGGGGCACACTGCCTCTCAGTCGGCAGACCCCATTAAGCAAACATGGTTAACAGGCCCCTTTTAAAGCGATCTAAGCCAATGGCCTCTCTTGTGGCAGTGAGTTCCACAGGCAACTCGTGGAAAGGAACGGCTAGCTAGGTTCAACCAAGTGCTATTTTTTGCAAGGGAGTGTTTTCCTATCCATTTTCTCCACAGCTCCGTAGTCTTTTTTAAATTTTCTTACAAATCTTCATTCCTTTTTTCTTTTCACCCTTTCCCCCAACGTTGTGGTGCCCCCTTTGGCCCTGGTGCCCCTAAGCACGTGCTTAGTCTGCTTCATGGTTCATCCGCCCCCAGGAAGATACCACGCCACGGAGAGCCCACCCTCCAAAAGGAGTTATACTCTCCCGGACCGCTGCAGGATGGAGATCAGCACTCGTTCCGGGAGATCTCCCGGGCCCGCCTGGAGATTGGCACCCCCACACCATGCACTTTTTGTGCTGTTTAAAAAAACCCCGCCTCTTCCCAATCCAGAAAAGAAGGGCGGCAATGAGAAGGGACCCTAATTCCGTCCTCCCCACCCCCCAAAAAACCCCCATAAAGATTTCGCAGGCATCAATACGAGAAGCCAAAGAGAAGGCAAGCCCCCTCCCGCGGTGCATCATGGGAAGCAGGGGCTTTAACGTCGCCCCCGTTAATGTTCGCCTCACACACACACACCCGCCCCTCATTCTCCCTTTCCTTTCTCGGCGTTGCTTAACAACGTCCTGCCCAAAGGCCCAGGCCGAGCGACGAGGCGGGGACGACTCACACGGCGTCAGCAAAGGCGGTCAGTCAAGGCGCGGACCCCCGGCGAGGACGACCCCGAAGCAGCGCCTCCGCTCCGCCCGGCCTCCGCCTGAGAAAAGAGAGCGGGCACGCGCCGCGCGCGGCATTCTGGGAGAGAGCGGCCTCCAGGGACAAACCAACCCTGACTCTGGAGGGGGGGAATTAAGGACAAAAGGGCGGGAAAGAAAGGGCGCCGGCGTTCTTTTTGATTCCTCTGGGATTCCACTTATAAATATCAGGTCGTGAAAAGATACGATTTAACTGTCAGACGATTAAAAAGGCTCATTTATCTCTCATGCTCCACCCCCCGTTTTTGTAAGAATGGAACAGGCCTAGCTGAGGCTGGCAATGGGAATCGAAGAGTGCACTGGCGGCCGCGGGGGGGGGGGGGGAGAAGTTTGAGGCGGTTCTGCGGAATGGAACAACCCCAGAGGTGATGGCTGTTGCATTCCCTGTTAAAAACAACGGAGATGTGTGAAAGAAGGGATCCGTAGTGGAACGGGGGAGAAACGTAAACGACAAAACACTAACGGGTTCTTTCCTTCTCCCCTCCTCGCGTCTGTGCCGATTGGAACAGCCCGGGGGAAGGGCTCCAGAGGGAATAGAAGAGTCCAACGGGACACAGGGGAGGACGAGAGAGAAGTGGCCGGAGAGCGCATGCGCCCTGCTCTCAGGCCCGCCCCATCCGAAGGCGGCCATTCCCTTTTTTTCCCGCGCTCCCCGTTTATAACGCGCTCTCCTTGCTCTGAGCCTGGATTTATGGTGCTCTGGCTTGCAAAGAGTCTCCTGTCCCCTTGCTGCACTGGGAGGCTCACTGGAGACAAGTGGGAGGGGGCCGGCATGGCTGGGGGGCGGGGCAAGATGCTCTGCTCCCCCCAGAGAAAAAGAGTTTGGAGGAGGAACCAGCTCTGCTTGGAGAACTGGTGGCCCTAGCAGCATCAGATGAGTCCCTGGAGGAGTCGCCGGCTCCGCAATATCTGCACCGGCGCAGTGATTCTCCTCGGGATGGTGGCAGCAGTGGGATCTCTGCTCCCTCCCCGCCATCTGCGTCAAAGATGGCTTTCCGCCGGGCCTACTCCATCAAAGACAAGCTGCGGGCCATCCAACGGGTCAAGGAAGGCGAGCGGCAGGCCTCCGTGTGCCGAGACTTCGGGGTGCCCGGCGGCACCCTGCGCGGCTGGCTGAAAGATGAGCGGAAGCTGTGCTGGTTCTTGGACCAGCTGGGCAGGGAGGTGGGCACCCACAGCAATAAGATGTGCCTGGCCAACGAGGAGGCCATCGACCGGGCTGTCTACACCTGGTTCCTCACCCGGCGTTAGCACGGCATCCCCCTCTCGGGTCCCATCATCCAGGCCCAAGAAGAAGCCTTTGCCAGGCAGATCTACGGCCCCGAGTGCTCCTTTAAGGCCAGCCACGGGTGGGTTTGGCGATGGCAAAAGAGACACGGCATCTCCAGCCAACGCATTTACCGTGAGACAGGGGACTGCGTTGGCACCGTGGGCAACAGCCCTGCCCTGAAAGCCACAGCAGAGTCAGTTCTAATCTCTTCAGCCTTCTCTGATCCTCTTCCATCACCGGACACGAACCCCTCTGACAGAGGAGGCTACCACGTTGAGCAGATCTACAACACCAGCATTACCAGGCTCTACTGGAAGCTGCTGCCGGGCCAAGTCCGAGCACTGAGGACTTGTGATCGCTCACAGCCTCCTGCACATTCCCAGCCGCGGGTAAAAGATCGTGTCGTGGTCCTGCTAGCTGCCAACCTCACTGGCTCTCACAAGCTGAAGCCCCTTGTAGTGGGAGAGGAGCAGGAGGCCCGCTGGCTCCATCGCCATGATCGAGAGAAACTCCCAGTTTGCTATCGCTACGGCGCCCAGGCCCACCTTGGCCCTGCCCTGCTCTGCCTCTGGTTCTTCGAAGACTTTGTGCCCGACGTGAAAAGTTTCCTGCGCCGTAATGGTCTCCAACAGAGAGCCGTGCTACTGCTCAGTTGCCCCCCTCCGTCTGTTTGTGGTGGCTCTGGGGATCTGCCCCAGCTGCAGACTCCAGACGATTCCATCCGAGCCCTCTTTCTTTCCAAGATGGCAAGGGACTCGCCGGGAGGAGGGGGCCACCTCTCTGCCCCGCTGTGGCAAGGCATGGTGTCCGCCTTCAAGCAGGTATACAAGCGGGAATTGCTCCGGCTGGCTGCTTTGTGCGCGGCGGGAGAAAGGAACTCGGAGGAGTCGGATCAACTTGGCACAGGTTGGCTGGTGGACTTCAGCCACAACTTCCTCAAGGACATGCTAAACCTTGCGGCCTTCTCTTGGGATCTGATTCCCGCAGGCACCATTGAGAAATGCTCCTTGGCTTACGGGCAGCCTTTGAGCCTTGCCCTGGAGAGAAGGAAGAACTAGGGGAGGTCCCTAACAACGCGGACAGCTCCATCCTTGGCGACCTCACTTCTCTGACTGCTCCTATTGGCAAGCGCCTAGTTCCGAAAGAGGTGGCGGATTGGCTCCATGTGGATGACACGGTCACGGACATAGGGGAAGGGGAGGAGGGATCTTTGTGTTGCGAAGGTGTGGGGGATGGGGTGACAGGGGGAGGAGATCAGGGAGTTGAAGGAAGGCGAGGATCTTCCAGTGCCCACGTCCCAGGAAGCTATCCAGGATCGCTGGCAAGTCGGGCCCCAGAAGCTGGTACAGCTTCGTGCCTTCATCAGCCTGGCCTAGCGGCTCTGCCAACTACCTGTCCCTGGTCCTCAGCAAGGGCCAGAGCAGGTGAGCTAACCCTGCTATTGCACCTGCTTCTCAGGCTGAGGAAGAAAATCGCCTCTCTGCGCGGCAGCCAAGGGTTGTGCTGTGAACTCCTAACTTCTAGCAGGAGCTCGTACACTTCAGCCAAGCGATGAGAGCAAAACAGGGTATTTGCATCCCCCTTGTGGACTGCACCCTCTCCCTGAGCTTGGCTGTACTAAACTCCAGCACTTTAAGGCTATTTGTCATTTCAGGGGGTAATTTGTGGCCCTGGAGGGGGTGTGCTATACAGCTGTCCCTCCAAAGGATCAACTAAACCCACCCAGAGTTGGCTTGAGAAGAAAGGGCTCCAACAGGTAGACCGAGACCAATGCTCCCTCTAAGCTGTGGAGTCTTGTGGGCAAAAATTCTACTTTGTGAGCTATCGGCATTAAAGTTGTGAGCGAGCGATTTGGCCGCTGCATCAATTAGTTTGCTCTGGAGCCATCCTCCCTGAGTGAAGACAAAAATGTGTGAGCTGGAGGCTAAACAACTGTGAGCTAGCTCACACTAACTCAGCTTAGAGGGAACAGTGACCAGTGTAGAAGACTACATGTATTTGAGCCAGATTTAGAAGAGCTGCCGCAATTTCAAGGGTCAAAAAGAGAAAATATTAGAAGACAGCATTCCAACAGAGGTGGGGCATGTGAGAAAAAGGCAGGCTCATATTTAAAGACAGGTCACCGAAGGCCCAGTTCTGACTTGTCATCCTCGTGATATATTTAGATATTGATACAGCAGATGTCTCTTCTGAATACTTTCCCTGGAGGATGAAATTTGGATTTCCCCCTTTCCCAGACTTACAGTTGGAAGTTCTCCAGGATGCAAAAAGTCTCAAATCTTGCAGTGTATTTGTTGTTGTTGTTGTTGTTCAGTCGCACAGTCGAGTCCGACTCTTCGCGACCCCATGGACCACATCACGCCAGGCCTTCCGGTCTTCCGCCGTCCTCTGAAGTTTGCTCAACTTCATGTTCATTGCATCTATGACACTGTCTAACCATCTCATCCTTTGCCGTCCCCGTCTTCTTTGACCTTCAATCTTTCCCAGCATCAGGGTCTTCTCCAGTGAGTGCTTCCTTCTCATTGGGTGGCCAAAGGCTTTGAGCTTCAGTTTCATTATCTGGCCTTCCAGGGAACAGTCAGGGTTGATTTCTTTTAGGATTGACTGATTTGATCTCCTGGCAGTCCAAGGGACTCTCAAGAGTCTTCTCCAGCACCATAGTTCAAAAGAATCTATTCTTCGGCACTCGGCCTTCCTTATAGTCCAACTCTCACAGCCATACATGACTACTGGGAATACCATTGCTTTGACCATGCGGACTTTTGTTGGCAGGGTGATGTCTCTACTTTTTATCCTGCGCAGTGTATTTAGAGAGCTTTTGGGGGGCCAGGGGAAAGCAGTTGGAAGAAGTCTTTTGGCAGGGGGACTAACAGCATGCAATGCAAACAAGAAACTCGTCCCTAAGATGGGATGGTGAAGTGCTGTAGAAAACCAGTGTCTAATTCAGCCACTACCTGAAAGCACAGTTGGTCCAGGAGACAGCAAATTCATGCTCAGAGCAAAGAGGACAGGTGAAAGCTGTTCCTGCCTGGTTTCGCCAACATGTTAGAAAGCAATTGTTTAATTTTGTAAGGAACTTAGCTTGTGAGAAGGGCTGATGATTGTTACATGCCTGTTCGCGAATTGGCTTCTCAATTATTCTCTTTGTCTCTCGTTTAAGACAGTACCTTTCTGACACGCACTGGATGGGATTAATCAACGGCAGGTGGTGTCCTGCACTGGCACAACTTGTCAAGGATATATCAGTAGTTATGCCAGCCAAGGCAGCTCTTGTAACATGGAAGCTTTTCAAAAGTAAAAAAAAAAAAATCTCAGAGAAGGAATTAAAGTGAAGTTACAGAAACGTGGACTACAGACACAAATATGAACTGCATCTTCTCTGCTAGGCAGAGAGAGAGTTCTCCCGAAGGGTGTCCATTTTGCTGGAATGGGGATGTTAACAGAAACTCAATCAGAATGCTGTCTGTTCAAGTAGATATTTGTTTCCAATGCTCAGTTGTCCCAGTTCACTGATTCCAGTGAGTTTATTTATTTATTTATTTATTTTGGGATTTATATCCTGCCCTACCCAACGGCTCAGGGCGGCTAACAAGCGCCAATGCCGAATTTAAAATTTAAAACAGTAGAACAATATTGCATACATAATAAAATCGGTGCTCTAATAATCTACATAAAATCACCAAGATGCGCAACGTTCCACATTGGTGGCTGACTTTTTTTTAATGACGTGAGCACCAGGAATGATATTCTCCCCATCTCTGCCGGGCGACATCTACTCTCCCAATAATGGGGTAGATGGATGATGGAATCTCAGTGGTGGAATAGTGGCGGCGGCGGCTCCTACTCAAAGGCCTGGCGGAAGAGCTCCGTCTTGCAGGCCCTGCGGACTGTACAAGGTCCCGCAGGGCCCGGATCTCCTCCGGGAGCTTGTTCCACCAGGTAGGAGCCGCCACCGAAAACACCCTGGCCTTAGTTTGGGCAAACTTCACACTTCGGGGACCTGGGACTTCCAGGAGATGGAGATTCCGTGATCGCAGTGATCTTGAGGGAACATACGGAAAGAGGCGGTCCCTTAGGTAAGCCGGACCCTGGTTGTTGCCTACCTCCTTAGGAAACTCATGGACGTTCAATGAAAGGAACAAGCAGTAGGCTTAGGATAGATAAAAAGAAGTCCTTCTTCACCCGAAGTCATGAACCTGTAGAATTCCCTGCTGCAGGAAGTGGTGGCGGGCGGCTACAAGCATAGGCAGCTTCAAGAGTGGGTTGGAGAAACAGGGAGCAGAGGTCCATCAGTGGCTATTAGCCACAAGGAACATTCTGCCTGGGCCATGGATGCCCGTTATTCTTGTCTTGCTGCTTAGGGGGCAACTGTGGGAGGTCTTCTGGAGTTCTGGCTCTGCTGGTGGACCTCCTGATGGCCACTGGGTTTTGGCCAGAGTAACACAGAGTGGAGTGTTGGACATCATCCTACATGGCTTCTCTTATATTCTTATGAAATACCAGTCACTTTCTCCAAAGCATAAGCCAGGATGCATGTTACTCTAGTTTTTATTTTTAAAACTTGTGCGGTAATAGCACCCATATTACCTCTGCAGTTTGTGCATGCCTATAAGAACAGACCAGGTTACTTGTTTTTATGGTGCACCTGCTCCCTTGTTTTTATGGTGCAGCCCATTTTTGGGGGTAGGGCAGGGTATAAATTTAATAAATTATGTCACCCTAGGATCTGGGAGACCTAGGTTCAGATCCCCACTCTGCCACAGAAGTCTGCTGAGTGACCTGACCAGTCACACACTCAATCTAAGCTACCTCACAGGGTAGTTGTGAGGATGAAACAGGAGAAATGGGAGGGACTTGGCTTGACAGCAGCACATGTGAAAGGGATCTAGTTGTTCTGGTTGATTACAAGCTAAACATGAGCCTGCAGTGTGATGTGACTGCGAAGAAAGCTAATGCAATCTTAGGCTGCATCAACAGAAGCATTGCGTCCAGATCACGGGAGGTGGTGGTTCCGCTCTATTCTGCTATGGTCAGGCCTCACCTGGAGTCCTGTGTCCAGTTTTGGGCACCACATTTTAGGAAGGGTGTTGACAAGCTCGAGCGTGTCCAGAAGAGGGCAACCAGGATGGTGAGAGGGTTGGAATCCAAGTTTTATGAGGAAAGGCTGGAAGAGTTGGGTCTGTTTAGCCTGGGAAAGAGAAGGCTTCGAGGGGACATGATTGCAGCCTTCAAGTATCTGAAGGGCTGTCATGTAGAAGATGGAGCGGATCTATTCTCACTTGCTCCAGATTGCAAAGCTAGATCTAATGGGTGGAAATTACAAGGGAGTCGATACCGGCTAAATATCAGGATAGACTTCCTAACTGTCAGAGTGGTTGAGCAGTGGAACAGACTGCCTCGGGAGGTGGTGGATGCTCCTCCGCTGGACGCTTTCAAGCGGAGGCTGGACGACCATCTTTCGGGTCTGTTGTGGGGCTCTCTTTCAGCTCTGTTCCTGCAGAGTGCAGGGGGTTGGACTAGATGACCTGCAAGGTCCCTTCCAACTCTAACATTCTATGATTCTATGAATGCTTTAAGCCTCTTTGGGCCCCCCTTGGGAAGAAAAGGTGGGGCATAAAATAAGATAGGAACTACAGCAGACAGCTTCTCCTACATAGCCTAGAACAACTCAAAAGAAAAGCAGGCAGATGCAATCGGGCGATCAGCAGTGATTACTAAGGGCTGCAGCCCATGTTTATTAGGCATGAATTCTCCAGTGCAGGAGTTCTGAACAATTAGTCCAGTTCTCCACTGCCTCAGAACCAGAGCTCCCATCTCTGCCTCCCTTCCAGTGTTCTTTCAGCATCATTTACATTTCAGCTGTACATCCCAGGAAGGTAATTCCACCTCCCGAGCACTTTTGTCCTTGGTCGGGAAAGGGGAGTTCCTAAACCCGCAGCGCTCAGGCGAGACTAGAGATGTAAAATTTCCGGAAATTTTGAAGCTCCAGTTTTTTGGGGGGGGAAACGGAAATTTTCGGAAAAATTGAAAAAAATGCTACATTAGCATTTCTTTTTTGTAGATTGAAAGTCATTCTGTTACTTTAGGAACATAAAATATGACTATGGACATTTTTACTTGGCATGAAATTATCACAACTAGCATATTAAAAATATAGTGTATCCAAACAATTTATTGATTTATTAACAATTATTACAAACAGAATACCCACCCACATGCAAGAACAAAACTGAAACCTTTTTATTTTCTTCTGTCAATAGCACCTCCTAAAGGAAGAAATGCATCTTGTTCTTGCATTGGAGAGTTCAGTTTGTAACCTAGGACTTGCTTGTCCTCAGTGCACAGAAATTAGATCAATCTGATACCATATATATATATATATAAGAAATGATTTGGAATATTTGAACACCTTGTCTTAAAATATTTTATTCATCATGTTAAAATAAAACGTTCCATAATCAATTTAAAAATGTTCCATAATCAGTTTCTTTTCTTTTTTCTTTTTTTCAATTTTTTCAGAAAAAAACAAAAAAAGGCTTCAGGAAAAAAACGGGGGGGGGGGGACGGGACGGTTTTTTTCTGAATTTTTCCGGGTTTTTTCCGGGCCTTCACATTTCTAGGCGAGACCACTGCATCCCCGTCGCCTTCTATCTCTTGCCCAACTCCCGGGCCCGGTTGGTGCCGGCCTCTACAGCGTTCATAACCGTAGATCGCAGGGCTCCTTTCTCCAGCTCATGCAGTGCGTGGATGGTTGTGCCCCCTGGCGTACAGACGGCATTTCTCAAGGCCGCCGGGTGCTCGCCGGTGTCTAGGATCATCCGGGCTGCTCCCTGGAAGAAACGGAGATGTGCATATTGGGAAAGGGCTGTGCTGGTGGCTGTGATATGAGACACTCCTAACCTTCAGCCTGAAAACGAACGGTACGCTGTTCGGACCAGTTGCCCCACTGGGATAGATGGGGTCAAGGGAACATTAGAAGCTGGAACTCTGGAGCACTTTATGCAACAAGAACTCGCCAGCAAAGGTAAATAGTTCTACAGCAAACCAAGAGAGAAGAAGAGAAGAGGTTGGATTTATACCCCACCCTTCACTACCCAAAGGAGTCTCAGAGCAGCTTACAAACTCCTTCCCCTCCCCACAACAGACACCCTGTGAGGTCGGTGGGGCTCAGAGAGCTCTGACAGAAATTGCTTTTTTTCAAGAACCAAAAAAACAGAACTATGGCTTGCCCAAGGTCATCCAGCAGGTGCAAGTGGAGGAGTGGGGAATCAAACCCGGTTCTCCCAGATCAGAGTCCACACACTTAACCGTTACACCAAACTGGCTCCTAGAGAGTCGCTTCAAACTGAAGCAAACAGGAAAAGAGAGACTGATCACATGACAGAAGGATACCAGTCACAGCACTGTGAGGATGACAAGTTCATCCAAAACCTGCCCCATCTTTGACCTATAAATTCTTAGGAACGTAGCCTGTGTTGAAGACCTAACCAGAGGATCCCAAATCTCATTGAGCTCGTGGGCATGTTCAGAATTTTGACAACTGGGAACAGTAGGGATGCCTGTAATGATTCCTTGTTTTGATGTGTGTGTGTTCCTTTAAATGTTAGGAATCTGTGTGTGTGTGTTTTATGACAGTGTTCTGTCTGTGTGTCTTTGGAGAGTGAAGTGTGAAAAGCTTTAAAGAGAGTCTGTGGAACTCTAAAAGTTTTGTGAGAGAGTCTATAAGGAAAATAAACGAGCTGTGTCTAAACTGTGTGGCTAGACCAATGTTTTATCTTGTGTGGAAAAGTCAAAGAGTTTAAGCCAGTTTGGCTACGTATATGAGAAAGAGAGAATCCTGTCAGAGTAGAATTTTAGCATCTAAGAGACTGTGTGCGACACCAAGCTTGCTAGTTATATTTTACAAGTTCCTTTTTCCAGAAACCTAATTTGTTCTTATTTCAATAAATCCATTTTTGTTCAAATATATCCCAAAATTCAGTACAGTCCTTCCTCAGGGCCACATAGTCCAGGCCCAGACCCTGGGTCACGCTACCAAAGGAGAGAAATTTGGAAATTTTAATTCCTGGTGGCAGCAGAAACTACCAAGTTTATACAAAGTGTGAATTAAAGGGAAAACCATTTCCCCTGTAAGCAAGGACTTCACAGAGTACAATTTAAAGGGAAAACAGCCCCTCCCCACAATAGCAAGAACATGCAGCCCGGAAAATCTACAACAACTAATGAACTCCAGCTGTGAAAGCCTTCGACAACATATTAAAACCAATACTGGTGGCGGCTTCCGCTGAAACAACGCTATTTTAATACGAACAACCAATTAGCTCTCCAGTGACCAATCAGAAGCCCTGCTGGTTGAGCACGACTTGGCCCCACCCATCTTCTTAGTGGGTGGGCGCCATGTTGGGAGACCCTTGGCTTCGAATGAAAGAGAAACAATCAAACCAGCTAATGATCCTAAGCTGGGTGGGGGACACGGGCTTGGCTGCAATCGGAGGAGAGGCCTCTGACCTTACCAAAAGCGTCTGGGCTGCGATCTTATTGGCCATGGCCCACGGCATCCCCATCTTCACTGCACCGTCAGCCAGCGCTTCAGCAAACGTGTAGACCTGTGGGATGGCGTGGGGGAAGAAAAGCAATGAGAATTTTCAGGGCAAAAAGGAAGCCGCAGAGGGGACCCTAATTCGGCCTGGGGGGTGCTTGAGGGTGTGGTCCAGAATACAGCTCAGTGGCTATTATTTTTATTTTTATATAACTTAATTTTTAAAAAATTTTATAGAAACAACCATTTAACTTCAAACAATAAAATTACAAAGACACTGAACAAACAAACACTCTGCAAACATACAACTAGGAAAAAATGAAGTATTTTTTAATTTTTTCATATTTGTAGCTCGCCCTTCCCGCAAGTGGGCTTAGGGCAGATAACAATAAATATGATTAAATTTTTAAACACAATAATACAACTTCAAAATTGGTGATCACAGCAAATGCTCCCTCTAAGCTGTGGAGTCCTGTGAGCAAAAATTCTACCTTGTGAGCTACTGGCATGAAAGTTGTGAGCAATGTTCCCTCTAAGCTGTGGAGTCCTGTGAGCAAAGATTCTACTTTGTGAGCTGCCGGCATTCAAGTTGTCTTGCTATTTGGGGAAACGGTTTTACCCTTAAACAGTCTCTGTGTCTATAAATTGGGTAGTTTTCTGCTGCCACCAGGAATTAAAAATTCCAATTCTCTCTCTTTTGGTAGTATGACCCAGGGTCTGGGCACTTCAGAGGACTATGTGGCCCTGAGGAAGGACATTTCTGGGATAAGTTTAAACAAAAATTGATTTATTTAATAAAGAACAAAATAGGTTTCTGGTTAATTTGAACAGTTGCTGAAGAAAGGGACTTGTAAATACCACTGGCAAAGCTTGGTGCTATAAACAGTTTCTCAAACTAGGCTTATACACTCAGTATACGCTCTCATATATATCGTCACATAGGCTAGTCTCTCTGTTTTATTCACACAGAATAGAATCAACTCTCTTAGTCACACAGACTAAACTGTTGGTCTTATTCACTCAGAAATAGACTCCAAATCCTATAGTCACACAGACTATGTTCACTCTTCAAACTTCACACACACAATCTCCTCATAGGCACACACACAGATTCCTCTCAGAGACACCCCTCCTCCCACACTCAGTCCTTGGCCAATCAAAATCACACTTGTCTCCCTCTATCACTCTTCTTACAGTACTGCAGTCAAACTAAACATTTAAAGGAACACACACACCAAAACATGGAATCATTACACACCTACTGCCTGGTCCTTTAAACTGGCGATGCCAGGGGTTGAAACTGGGACCTTCAGCATGCCAAGCAGATGCTCTACCACTGAGTCACGGCCCCTCCGCAAAGCCTTTTATCTACCCTGCGGTCCCATCTTTCCCTGCAAGTGGTGTGATCTGTACTTGGGCTATGGTGCATGAAAATCCAGTCCTCTTATCACTGGGGGGGGGGGGATTGGACATACCCCGCCCTTCACTAGGAGTCTCAGAGCGGCTTACAAACTCCTTTCCCTTCCCCTCCCCACAACAGACACCCTGTGAGGGAGGTGGGGCTGAGAGAGCTCTTTCCAGGACTGTCCTTGAGAGAACAGCTCCGACAGAACTGTGGCTTGCCCAAGGTCATCCAGCAGCTGCAAGTGGAGGAGTGGGGGAATCAAACCCGGTTCCCCCAGATTAGAGTCCGCGCACTTAACCACGACACCAAAGTGGACTAAAAGCTCGACTTTTTCCAAGCCAAGAAACCAGTCAGCTAGGACCCAGCACAAGTGGCACTCACGTAGGCAACTCCGCTGCCACTCAGTCCGGTGTGAATGTCAATGTGGGACTCGGGCGCCTCTTCACACAGCCCGCAAGGAGACAGCAAGCTCTTCAGCAAGGCTGCGTCCGGATCAGCCGCGCAGGTTCCCCGGGCCAGCACGATAGCGCCTGACTGGACCACGCAGGGGAGATTGGGCATCACCCGGAGCACCTTGGTCCTGGCAGGCAGCAGCTGTGCGGGACAGAAGGAGGCATTGAGGAGGCGCAGAGAGACACGTTGGAAACATTTCAGAAGAACTCGCAAGGATCCGGCTTGATCTAGCAGATTTCACAGACTTGTCCCAAGCCTGTGGGGGATTCCTCCGCACCCAGATTTTGCACATCTTTAGGAAGTTGGCAGATGAGAAACATGCCTGAGTTTGAATATATTTATTACTTAGAAGAAGAAGAGAAGGAGAGATTGGATTTATACCCCGCCCTTCACGGCCAAAAGGTGTCTCAGAGCGGCTTACAAACGCCTTTCCCTTCCCCTCCCCACAACAGACACCCCCTGTGAGCAATGCTCCCTCTAAGCTGTGGAGTCTGGTGAGCAAAACCTCTACTTGTGAGCTACTGGCATTCAAATTGTGAGCGAGCGATTTGGATGCTGCATACATTAGTTTGCTCTGGAGCCATCCTTCCTGCGTTAAGAGAAAAATCTGTGAGCCGGAAGCTAAAAACCTGTGAGCTAGCTCACACTAACTCAGCTTCGAGGGAACACTGCTTCGAGGGAACACATAAGAGACGCCAATGTTGGATCAGGCCAATGGCCCATCCAGTCCAACACTCTGGGTCACACAGTGGCCAGAAATACCTGGTGCCATCAGGAGGTCCACCGGTAGGGCCAGGACATTAGAAGCCCCTCCCACTGTTGCCGCCCCCTCAAGCACAAAGAATACACAGCATCCCTTGCCCCAGCCTGAGAGTCCTTATCTATACCTTGTGGCAAATAGCCACTGATGGACCGCTGCTCTTAAGAACATAACAGAAGCCAATGTTGGACCAGGCCAATGGCCCATCCAGTCCAACACTCTGGGTCACACAGTGGCCAGAAATATCAGGTGCCATCAGGAGGTCCAGCAGTGGGGCCAGGACACTAAAAGCCCTCCCACTGTTGACCCCCCCCAAGCGCCAAGAAGACAGAGCATCCCTTGCCCCAGAGCCCCTATCTATACCTTGTGGCTAATAGCACTGATGGCCTAGCCTAGAGCATCCCTGACCAGTGTTTGTCCAGCCGCTGCTTGAAGACGGCCAGGGAGGGGGAGCTCACCACCTCCCGAGGCGGCTGATTCCACTGGTGCACAACTTTCAACTGTAAAAAAGATTTTCGTCAAATCCAGCCGGTCCCTTCCCGCTCTTAATTTAAACCCGTGATTGCGAGTCCTCTCCTCCGCTGCCACCAGGAACAGCTCCCTGCCCTCCTCTGAGTGACACAGACTTCAAGAGAGCAATCACGCCCCCCTCAACCTCCTCTTCTCTGGACTGAACACACCCTCAGCCAGGGGTCATTTTGTAGAAAAAGAGGTGCAGGAGCTCATTAGCATAACTCATTAGCATAACTTATTCGCATAGGCCACACCCCCTGACATCACCGGAAGTGTGTGTCAGAAGGCAACACCCACCGCTCAGGCTCCACTGGACTGTTTTGGATTGCTAGCTATTGGAGGGGGGGACATGCAGATCTGTGCCTCACAGAGGAGGGAGAGCTGGTACCTGAATAAAACTTGGTCTTAAAGGTGCCACTGGACTGTTTTGGATTGCTACCTATGGGGGGGGGACACACACACGCAGATCTGCCCTCACAGAGGAGGGAGAGCTTGTACCTGAAGGTGGGCCGGGGGGGGGGGCGCTCTGCAACTTACCTAACTGCTTCTTGCTCCTCATAGCCCGACTGAGGGCTGCTGGGAGCAGGGGGCGGGGCTTGTTGCATGTGCCCGCCCCCTAGCCTCCTTACTGCCAGAGCTCCACTCCTGTGCGCTCCTGCAGGAAATCACCCCTGCCCTCAGCCTATCCCACCTCACAGGACTGTTGTGAGGATAATAAAGAGGAGAGGAGAATGATGTAAGCCGCACTGGGTTCCCGTGGGGGAGGAAGAGAAGTAAATGAGTAATAAAATAAAGAAAGCTGTTTTAGATGCTTTCAAAGAGACTTTATTCTGTCCAGACTGGGAAGGCTAAAAATCTAATTAAAACAGAATAGGCCCTCCAGGGTTCTGGCTGAGAAGGGACAGACCTAGGCCTGCAGCGGAGATCCTTTAAACGGGAGATGCCGTGGGCTGAACCAAGCAGGTGTTTTGCCAGAGACTGTGTTCCAGACCTCCTCACACCAGCTATAGACCTCTATGAGCACCTGGCAGTGATGGGAACACCCTTCATGGACTCACCTTTTCTAACGTCTGGAGCGTGACTCCAGCTGCCATGGAGACGAGGATGTGATCTGGGGTGACATCAGGAGCAATTTCCCGGAGTACCACTGGAATGATGTGGGGCTTGGTTGCCAGGAACACCAGGGTACAGTTCTTCAGCACCTCTGCATTACAGTGGGTTGTTCTGCAGCCAAAACCCTTTCATCAGACAGGGAGAGAAAGCAAAGCACGAGATAAGCAATTCTCACATTGCAACTTACCGGCACTTGGTCTAGTCCAGGGGGCCCCAACATAGGTGGGGGTCAGACAGTGTGATCATAGCGCTGTTGACACCTCAACTATTACCCAGGTTTATTTAGAAGAAGAAGAAGAAGAGATTGGATTTCTACCCCGCCCTTCACTCGGAGTCTCAGAGCAGCTTACAAACTCCTTTCCCTTCCCCTCCCCACAACAGACACCCTGTGAGGTGGGTGGGGCTGAGAGAGCTCTGACACAAACTGCTCTTTTTCAAGGACAGCTGTGCCAGAGCTTGTGACTGACCCAAGGTCACACCAGCAGGTGCAAGTGGAGGAGTGGGGAATCAAACCCGGTTCTCCCAGATTAGAGTTCGCACACTTAACCACTACACCAAACTGGCTCTCCACAGTGATACGATCAGACACCCAATGCTCACCCCCCAGTCTAATATGCGCTTGTGCACCAATGCGCATATCGCGAATTAATTTTTAAAAATGGTGCCATACGTGAACCCCCGGTGATCAGACATCTGGAAATGCGTGGTGGTAACAATAGCGTCCACAAAACACAGACTTTCTCTGGTGTCAGGAAAGTCAGCAATGACTGCAATGCGGGATACCTCCTCTGACGTCTGGACGCACTTTTTTAAACCGGAGGGGAGAAGTGGGGACGCTGGATCAAGAAGCCCGTCTGATCACACCCATCGTGTTCTTTCCCAGTGCGCAAAGTATTTTTAGGAAGTGGGCGGGGCCAGGAAAGGTTTTTGTCCGGCAAGGCTTCTGATTGGCCACTGGATATTTCACTGGATGTACAGATGTTTGGAAAAAGTCAGTTCAGCAACAGCTACCCCCACTGCACAGAGATCTTCCCTGTGTGACTGAAGGCAAGCAACAGCAGCCATTTTGTGGCTGGCTGCACTTCCTCTCGGAGCCATGTTGTGGCTGGTTCCGCCTCCTCTGGCAGCTGTTTGGTGTAGTGGTTAAGTGCGCGGACTCTAATCTGGGAGAACCGGGTTTGAGTCCCCACTCCTCCACTTGCACCTGCTGATGTGACCTTGGGTCAGTCACAAGCTCTGGCACAGCTGTCCTTGAAAAAGAGCAGTTTCTGTCAGAGCTCTCTCAGCCCCACCCACCTCACAGGGTGCCTGTTGTGGGGAGGGGAAGGGAAAGGAGTTTGTAAGCCGCTCTGAGATTCCGAGTGAAGGGCGGGGTATAAATCCAATCTCCTCCTCCTCCTCCTCCTATTTTGTTGCTGTGCCCAGGGGCAAGCAGTGGCCATTCTGACTTCCTGGCACAGCTGCCAAAACCCTGAACTTGGACATGTAAAAGATCAGGACTGTAAGAAACCTGCAGGTTAATTCAACAGAACGAAAAGATGGGGGATGCTGGACTGCTAAAACAATTCTGTCATGTTTTCATTAAAAGTACGCAGGGAAAATGCAGACAACGCCACATGAAGAAAAGCATTAAAAGCTCTGAACTGTTTTGCCAACTCTTGTAAATTTCCACCTCCCAGCAAAATGCTTAAGAGAGAGCCAGTTTGGTGTAGTGGTTATGTGCGCGGACTCTAATCGGGGAGAACCGGGTTTGATTCCCCACTCCTCCACTCGCAGCTGCTGGATGACCTTGGGCAAGCCACAGTTCTGATAACAGCTGTTCTTGAAAAAGAGCCATTTCTGTCAAGAGCTCTCTCAGCCCCATCTACCTCACAGGGTGCCTGTTGTGGGGAGGGGAAGGGAAAGGAGTTTGTCAGCCGCTCTGAGACTCCTTTGGTGAAGGGTGGGGTATAAATCCAATCTCTTCTCTTCTTCTAATAATGGTAATAACAATATAAACATCACCCAAATAAACTTTGCTAACATATAGGACCAAGAACACAGAGAACATAACAGAAGCCATGTTAGATCAGGCTAGAGGCCCGTCTAGTCCATACTCTGTGTTCGACAGTGGCCAAAACCCAGGTGTCATCAAGAGGTCCACCAGTAGGGCCAGAACTCTAGAAGACCTCCCACTCTTGCCCCCCCCCCAAGCACCAAGAAAACAGAGCGTCACTGTGGTACTAAGACAGAGTGTTCCTTCTATACCTTGTGGCTAGTAGCCACTGATGGAGCTCTGCTCCACATGTTAAGTAAGGGCAAATCATTCAAACAATATTTGAGAAAGGAAAGGGACCAAGAATAGCACAGAAACACACTCACGCCCTACTGGGAATTTTTTGTGTGGAAGGAATAGGTTGGGCAATCACCTCTTGTTGTGATTGACTATGATTCTCATACAGGGGACGGGGGGAGAACCAAGACGGCAGAACAAATGATCCGTAGCATTCCTTCCGGTTCACATCCTCTGCCCAACAGTCACTGTTGAGTCTTCATTTACCTGGAACTTGTCCAGATTGGTGTTCGATGGGGCACTGGCAAGAATGTTTCCTGGCTGAACTTCTCCTGTTAAGGAAACAAGGAAATACGTATTGAACATGGAGTAAATTTTGCACTGTCCAAACAGAGAGCCACAAGAAACACGAGAAAAACTTCCAACACTGCTTATCAAATTATCCACACTTAAACGCATATACAGTTTGACTGCTAATCTTCCAAGTGACGTGCCATAAAAAGGTAAGCAGCCAACAGGTATGCATCATAAAATTCTGAGCACTTCATATACAGAACCCGGTGGGGGTTGTGTTAGCCAACCCAGTGGCAAACCAGTTCCTCTGGAGGGCCAACAACAGGGCACAGAGGCCGAGGCCTTCGTCTGATGTTGCCTTGTGGCTCTAGGATTCAGGGGGTTTCTGGACCTGGATGTGGAGGTTTCCCTCAGTCACCGTGGCTAGTAGCCATTGATAGATTCATCGTCCATGAATCTGTCTAATCAGTCCAGTGAGGGTCCATCTAGTCCATCCTCCTGTCTCACCCAGTGGCCAACACCGGTTTCTCTGGAGGGCCAGCAACAGGGCACAGAGGCCGAGGCCTTCTGCTGGTGGCCTCCTGGCTCTGGGATTCACAGGATTAGTGCCTCTGAGTGTGGAGGAGGTCCCCCCTCAGTCACCATGGCGAGCAGCCATTGAGAGACTGATGCTCCGTGAATCTGTCTAATCCCCTTTTAAAGCTGTCTATTCCTGTGGCCACCACTGCATCCTCTGGACTGAAGGACTGTCTGTGTAAAGTATTACTTCCTTTTGTCCGTCCTGAACCTACTGCCCATCAGCCTCACTGAATGCCCTCGAGTCCTTGTATTTTGGGAGAGGGAGACAAATTCCTCTTTGCCCACTCTCTCCACCCCGTGCATAATTTGACAAACCTCTATCATGCCCCCCCCCTTTAGTTGTCTCTTTTCCCAACTGGAAATTCTCAGACTCTTCAGCCTAGGGAAGGTGTCCCAGCCCCCTTATCATATTGGTGCCCCACCCGCACTTTTCCCACTTCATTTGGAATACCGCGTAAGGTCCTGCTTAAAGGTAAAGGTTCCCCTTGCTCGAAAGCCAGTCGAATCCGACTTTAGGGTTGCGGTGCTCATCTCCGTTTCAAAGCCGAAGAGCCAGCGCTGTCCGAAGACTCCTCCGTGGTCATGTGGCCAGCATGACTAAACACCGAGGCGCACGGAACGCTGTTCCCTTCCCACCGAAGTGGTACCTATTTATCTACTTGCAATTTCTTGCTTTCGAACTGCTAGGTTGGCAGGAGCTGGAACTAGAGACAGGTCTCGAACTGCTGAACTACCGACCTTCCACAGCCTGCAGTTCAGGGTCTTAACCGCTTGAGCCACCGCAGATCCATAAGGTCATAAGGACATCAGAGATGCCAATGTTGGATCAGGCCAAAGGCCCATCCAGTCCAACACTCTGTGTCACACAGTGGCCAGAAATACCAGTGCCATCAGGAGGTCCAGCAGTGGGGCCAGGACACTAGGAGCCCTCCCACTGTTGACCCCCCCAAGCACCAAGAAGACAGAGCATCACTTGCCCCAGAGCCCCTACCTATACCTTGTGGCTAATAGCCACCGATGGACCTCTGCTCCATATGCTTATCTAATTCCCTTTTGAAGCCGTCCATGCTTACTGTCCTGCTTACTGTCTCTCAAAAACGAGGCCGCACCACACAGATCCGTGCAGGGCAGCATTGCAACATTACAGCTCCACTCTTTTCACCAAAGCTGCCAGCGCTGGACTGGGAAACACCGGGAGATTTGGGGAGGTGGAGCCTGAGGAGGGCGGGGTTTCAGGAGGGGAGGAACCTTCACAGCGTATACTGACATAGAGCGCACCCTCCAAAGCAGCCGTTTTCTCCAGGGCCACTGAGCTGGATTGTGCAGTGAGCTCCAGGTGCCCCCTGGAGGTTGGCAGCCCCGCTTTTCAAAGAAAGGGCAGCAGCCAGGCGCCTCCCCCTTGCCCACCACGCGGCTCTCCGGCCCACCTACCCGCCAGCAGCATCCCCCGGGCCACCGCGCAAGCCATGCGCCCCGCGCCGATGAAGCCCACGCGCAGCTCCGGCGGGATCTCCATCCCCCCCGGCAGTTCCCGGGTCCACCGCTGCCGCTGCTCCGACTTCCATTCACGCCCTTCGGCCTCTCCGCTTGGGAAAAGGGGGGACCCAATCAGGCCACGCGTCGCCTGCGGGAAGCAGCCAATCGCAGCCCGAGGGCTCCGATTGGCCGGCCCGCGTCCGAACTCCGCTCTGGATTGGCGGGGCCCTTCCCGACGGGCTCGTTCGTCGGAAGCTTTAATAGGGACTGGCTGCGCTTCTTGCCGCGAGTTGTTGAAATGATTGATGCGCGGCGGCTTGGAGGCGCAGGCAGGTAAGTCCGTGGAAGAGGTTGGCCGTGCAAATGGGGATGAGGGGAGTTGCCCGGGTATTTAGCGGCCTTTCTGGAGGATGGGCAGAAGACGCTGGACTGAATAGGGGTCTAGTGGCGCTTTGGAAATCAGCGCGATTTATTTTAGCCTGGTATTTTTATTTAATGCGTTGGAGTATCGTGCAAAAACAGCTTCCTTTGCAGAACAACGTTTGAGTCCAGTGGCGCCTTTAAGGCCAACCTAGTTTAATTTTGGATATAAGCTTTTTTTTGTGTACATGCACACTTCTTTAGATGCCTGATAAAGGGTGCATGCACGTGAGAGCTTATACCCGGAATAGTTTGAGACGCCAGAATGGATTGCCCCAACCTGATGTTCCCGGCTTGCTCAGTCTTTTTAGATCATGGAAGCCCTGGCTGGGACTTGGATGGGAGACCAACCAAGGAAGTCCAGGGTTGCTATGCAGAGGCAGGCAATGAGAAACCCACCACTGAATCTCTTATGGGGTCATCATAAATCAGCTGTGATTTGATGGCACTTTGCACCACACAGGAGAAGGAGTTTGGATTTATACCCCATGAGTTAAAACCACATGAAACAATTCAATTATGGCCCCGGTCACACGGCAAAGTTGCCACGGGAGAGGCACGGATGGTGGGCGGATTATCCGGGCGCGATCACACCCCAACATCTGGGAAGTGGAGCACACCCGTGGCTTACCGCTGACAATGCGCCTTAAAAAACTAGTACCTCCAAGGTACTAGTAAACGTTTGCCGTGGGCTGTCTCCAGATGCCCGTGGTGTGATCGCGCTGGCGCATGGCATTCCCCTCCGGTCCCTCATTTACCCACCGGCGTGTCTGATCAGGTAATCGCGCATCAAACTGCGCCAGGGCAATTAGCCATGCCTCCCCCCACGATATCCGGCCTGTGTGACCGGGGCCTATGAGTATAGTTTCATAAAGTGCTGAAGGTAGTTACTACATATTACAGTTCAGGCTTAAAACTGCATTGGTTGGTTACCAATTATGCCTGGGTTGCGACTACAAGTATTCCTAGGAAGTACATTTATAGAAGGGGTGGTGGCTTAGGGGACACCCTCATCGAAAGCCTGGTCTCGCAGGCCCTGCGGAACTGCAAAACGTCCTTGAAAACCCTAAGGGGTCGCCATAAATCAGCTGTGATTTGCTGGCACTTTGCACCACACAGAAGGATTGGGGGGCAATAGGGTGTGGCTTTGACTTTTGTTGAACTTATGTGAATGGAGATTTTTATTATTAGAGTTCAGGCTGAAAACAGCATTGGTTGGTTACCAATTACGCCTGGGTTGCGACTACAAGTATTCCTAGGAAGTACATTTATAGAAGGGGTGGTGGCTTAGGGGAAAAGCCTTTGCTTTTGTAAGCAAAAGGTCCCAGGATCAATCCCTGGTATCTCCAGATAAAAAGGAGTGAGTAGCAGGCAATGTTTTCTCTAAGCGGTGGAGACTTTGTAAGCAGAAGGTCCCAGGTTCAATCCCTGGCATCTCCAGATAAAAAAAGAGTGGGTAGCAGGTGATACAAAAGATGAATCTCTGCCTGAGACCCGGGAGAACTGCTGCCAGTCTGAGTAGACAATACTGACCTTGATGGACCGAGGGTCTTTCTCAGCCAGGTGAACTAAAGAGTGAATCTGTGACCCATCTTCCTTGTGAGTAATATGAACAGAAGAAATGAGTCCAAGAGCCGGTGAGCCAGTTTGAGAGCCATATCTTGCTTGCCAGAGGATGTAGTGATGGCCACAGGAATAAATAGATTTAAAAGGAGATTAGATACATTCATGGAGGAAAGGAGGAGGGTCTTTCTCAGCCTAAGGCAACTATTTGTTCAATGCCAGGTGAACTAAGGAGTGAATCTGCAACCATCTTCATAAATACAAGAAATGAGTTTGAGAGCCGGTGAGCCAGTTCGAGAGACATATCTTGCTTGTCAGAGGATGTAGTGATGGCCACAGGAATAAATAGATTTAAAAGGGGATTAGATAGATTCATGGAGGAAAAGTCTATCAGTGGAAACTCGCCATGGTGACTGAGGGGGACCTTCACATCCAGAGGCACTAAGCCTCTGAATCCCAGAACCAGGAGGCAACCTCACGGGAAGGCCTCGGCCCTGTTACTAGCCCTCCAGAGGAACTGGCTGGCCACACAGTTCTGATGAAGGTCTGGGCCTCTCTGCCCTCTTGCTAGCTCTCCAGAGGAACTCGTTGGCCACTTTGTGAGACAGGATGCTGGACAAGATGGACCCTCCATGGTCTGATCCAGCAGGGATCTTATATTATCAAGGGAAGACCTTGGTCTCTCTGCCCTGTTGTTGGCCCTCCAGAGGAACTGGTTGGCCCCTGTGTGAGACAGGATGCTGGACTAGATGGACCCTCACTGGTCTGACGCAGCAGGGCTCTTCTGATGTTCTTGTGCTGGTGGAGACCTTTGGGTCCAGATGAGGGATACCAGTGCCTTGTTGTTCAGTCACACAGTCGAGTCTGACTCTTTGCAACCTCATGGACCCCATCACGCCAGGCCCTCCCGTCTTCCGTCGTGCTCCGAAGTTTGCTTAATTTCATCTCTAGAGGAACTGTCTAGCCACTGTGTGAGACAGGATGCTGGACTAGATGGACCCATGGTCTGATTCAGCAGGGCTCTTCTGATGTTTTTATGCTGATGGAGACATTTGGGTCCAGATGTAGGATACCAGTGCCTTGTTGTTCAGTCACACAGCCGAGTCTGACTCTTCGCAACCTCATGGACCACATCACGCCAGGCCCTCCCGTCTTCCGTCGTGCTCCGAAGTTTGCTTAATTTCATGTTTGTTGTCTCCAGCCCTCTAAAGTCTCTTAAGTTTCCTTCTCACAGGAAATCTTCAAAAAATGCTTCTTCGCTGGGTCGGCTTTCCGCTACTTCTCCTGCTTTTGATCTCCGAGCCCTCCGCCGGGTTCTTCAGCTGGCTGATCCACAGAGCAGCCCCAGAGCACCGCCCGGCTCCCGCCCCAGAAAAACTCCCTCCCGTTCCTTTTGAGATGACCACGGGTGATGAGAGGTTCGTAGCTGAGACTCGGCACTTGGAGCTGACGCCTCTGGACTCATGTCACTACCAGGTTCGCCTGTTCTTGATAAAAGAGGTGCTGTAAGGTCCTGCAGTGGCTCAAGTGGTTAAGACGCTGAACTGCAGGCTGTGGAAGGGCGGGAGTTCAGCAGTTCGAGACCTGAGTGTGCCGCATGACGGAGTGAGCTCCCGTCTCTAGTTCCAGCTCCTGCCAACCTAGCAGTTCGAAAGCAAGAAATTGCGAGTAGATAAATAGGTATCCCTAGGCCAATCAGCCTGACTCCCGCGCGTGGGAGAATGGGGCCCCAGGCCGTTAACGCCAAAGCCGCTTTGAGACTCTTTTGGGTAGTGAAGGACGGGATATAAATGCGGTCTCTTTTTCTCTTCATCTTCTTCTTTCCTACTCTGATTTCTAGAGTGGCATTCTGTTTTTGAGGGATAGAGGCACTGTGAGAAGGGTTGGAAACCTTAACTCAGGAGAACGTTGCCGAAATCTTAAACACGTGAAGACTACCTTGCAAGTGATCTTTTATGCAAAAGTGGCATTCACATTCATTTAATGCAAGTGGCATTCACTGAGTTTATTTTTTCCACCTATCTGTAGTTTTAAATTGTAATTTTAATTCACGGCCTTTTAGGTATGTTATGTATTGGTTTAGGGGAGTTTTGAAAATCCTGATATAAACCCCCCCCCCCTTTCCCCAAGATGTATCTGGGAGAGAAAAAGATTCACTCAAGGCTTTAGGCTGGCAGAACATTCAGTTTTAATAAGATGGTGAGAGCCAGTGTGGTGTCATGGTTAAGAGCAGCGGACTCTGATCTGGAGAACCGAGTTTGAGTCCACTGTTCCTTGCCTGAGAGACCTTGGGCCAGTCACGGTTCTCTCAGAACTCCCTCAGCCCCACCTACCTCACAAGCAATGTTCCCTCTAATCTGTGGAGTCTTGTGAGCAAAAATTCTACTTTGTGAGCTACCGGCATTAAAGTTGTGAGCGAGCAACTTGGCTACTGCATAGATTAGTTTCCTCTGGAGCCCTCCTCCCTGAGCTGAGACAAAAATGTCTGAGCCGGAGGTTAAAAACCTGTGAGCTAGCTCAAACTGTCTCATCTTAGAGGGAACACTGCTCACTAGATGCTTGTTGTGGGGACACAAAGGGAAGGCGAATGTAAGCTTTGAGACACCTTCGGGTAGAGAAGAGTGGGATATAGAAACCAACTTTGCAAGTGAGAGAGCAAGCTGACATTATGAACAAGATTAAAACTTCCTTCTTTTGTAGAATAAAACAGACAAAAGGTCGGGGTCTAGAATTCCAAAAGAAAGTCCATAATACACTTTACCCCACTCCTTCTGAGTACATTTTTCATTCCTTCTAGGGAGATAAGGAAAATAAACCCTTTACACATTTTTCATAGGAGATACGGATGGAACAGACGCTTGACTGAGAGAAAGTTGCTTGGAGGTCAGCAGGCCAGAGAACAGATCTATGGGGTGTGTGGGGGGGTGTTAGGGAGGAATATAACATCTTTAAAATATATCAAGCCAAACATAGGCTCACAGTTTAGAAGCCATTATAAGAATGGAGCTGCGGTGGCTCAAGTGGTTAAGACGCTGAACTGCAGGCTGTGGAAGGTCGGTAGTTCAGCAGTTCCGACTGGCTTTCGAGCAAGGGAACCTTTACCTTTACCTATAAGAATCTCAGTCTTACTTGGCAGGGTAACTTTCGAGATGCATGCAAAATTCCTTAACAGTATTATTGCGTTTTATTTGCTATTTACGTTGTAATCCACCTTGAGTTCCATGAGGCAGAAAGTCAGAAGACAAATGTTCTAAATAAAGTAGCTAGTAACTTCTAGTGCAAGCGGAGCATGCATTAGAATCTCTGCTCCAAGCAGAGGATTATGTCTCTTTGCCCCATTCCGTCTAAGGGATCATTAATAAACTCAGAAAAATAAGTCTGCCCTTTGAGATGTCTTTAGTTGCTGCTTGCTACGGGAGAATCATAAGGGGAAAGGCTTTAAGTTGCCTCAAAAATAAATAACCTTAAAGCTTTTCTTACACTCCAGATGTATTGTGGGAAGAAGAGATTGGATTTATACCCCGCCCTTCACTCCCCAAAGGTGTCTCAGAGTGGCTTGCAAACTCCTTTCCCTTCCCCTCCCCACAATAGTCACCCTGTGAGGTGGGTGGGGCTGAGAGAGCTCTCCCGAGAACTGCCCTTTAGAGAACAGCTCTGAAAGAACTATGACTTGCCCAGGGTCATCCAGCCAGGTGCAAGTGGAGGAGGAGTGGGGAATCAAACACGGTTCTCCCAGATTAGAGTCCGCGCACTTAACCACGACACCAAACAGGAAATCAGACTTCTGCTCCAACAGGAAATCAGACTCCTGCTCCAAACGCTTTCCTGTTGTTGTTTTCCCGCTAGGTTATTTCACAGCTTCAGTCCTCCTGCACAGAGCTGTCCGAAGAGGAGCTGGCCAAACTGGGCGTGTCCTTGTTCAACTGTCAGGCCAGCGTTGAAGGCCGCCGGACTTACCCGTGCACAATGGGCATGGTGAGTAGATCGCTAAATGAAAGAATCCCCCATCTGTATACACACATGTAGCTGCCTCCTTACTGAATCAGACCCTTGGCCCATCAAGGTCAATATTGGCCCCAGTCACATGGGCCGGATATCGCGGGGGGGAGAGGTCTTTCCCGTCACCTCCTGCCAGATCTCTTAACCACCCATCCAAAGCCTTTTATTGGCATATACATGAAGATACAGTAATCGAACTACAAAACCGTGCAGAATAAAATTACAATTGCAGAGTAACATCATAATAAGAGTAGCATCGTAATAAAACCTAATTCATAGTATCGCTTATCAGGCTGTGAGACCATGGCACTGCAAAGAAACTTTGCCACTATTTCAGTTATTTCTGAAAGCCAGTTTGGTGTAGTGCTTAAGTGCGCGGACTCTAATCTGGGAGAACCAGGTTTGATTCCCCACTCCTCCATTTGCCAATTTCATGTTTGTTGCATCTATGACACTGTCTGACCATCTCATCCTTTGCCGTCCCCGTCTTCTTTGACCTTCAATCAATAATAAGAGTAGCATCGTAATAAAACCTAATTCATAGTATCAGGCCGTGAGACCATGGCACTGCAAAGAAACTCTGCCACTATTTCCGTTATTTCTGTCTCATCAAGCAAGAAAAGGAGCTTAAAATCATCAGGGGTCTCTAAAAATTGGGCTAATATGGGGGACCTCTTAACTAGAGGATTGAACCTGGGGCCTTCTGCATGCCAAGCAGATGCTCTACCACTGAGCCACAGCTTCTCCCCCAAAGCCTTTTCTCTGTCCTGTGGTCCAAGCGCCTTTATTTGTAAGTGGCGTGATCTGTCCTTGGGCTCTGGCACATGAAAAGCAGATGTTCTGCCACTAAGCCAGGGGTGGCTAAACTGCGGTTCGGGAGCCACATGCGGCTCTTTCACACCTATTGTGCGGCTCCCGGCAGGGCAGCTGGGAAAGCGAAGGGGAGGCACACCTTTTCTCCCTCCCTCCCTTTTTGCTTTCTTTTTCTCTCTCTCTCTTTCTTTCCACCTCCTTCATTTGTTCTTTCCACCTCTCTCTTTTTCTCTCCCTCTTAGACAAATATCATTGTACAAATAAATATCATTATCGATATCTGTTTTGACCCCTTTGCTTTTTATTTTTGGCAGTCACATTTAATGTTAATAAAAAGCAAATTTGTATATATTTTTCAATAAAAATGTGTGTGTAATATTTGTTCATGGCTTGTGGCTCTCAAACATCTGGCGTTTATTCTATGTGGCTCAAACGTTGAGCAAGTTTGGCCACCCTTGCACTAAGCCATTGTCCCCCCCAGTGTTCCCTCTAAGCTGAGTTAGCGTGAGCTAGCTCACAGGTTTTTAGCCTCCAGCTCATGGACTCTTGTCTTCGCTCAGGAAGAATGGCCCCAGAGCGAATTAATTTATGCAGTAGCCAAATCGTTTGCTCACAACTTTAATGCCAGCAGCTCAGAAAGAAGAATTTTTGCTCACAAGACTCCGCAGCTTAGAGGGAACATTGGTTCTCCCCCCCTACACACCCACACAGGCACATGAAGCTGCCTTGAAGTGACTCAGACTCTTGGTCCATCAAAGTCAGTACTGTGGGTTGGGGACCCCTGTCACATCCATTGCCAAACTGAATTTCCAGAGCTGGGGCAGATTGATCAACCTCAACAGAGAATACATGCACCTTGGCCGTCCCCATTGTGATGGTGAACGCGCACGTTCAACTCCCTTGTCTATTTCCCCCCTCTAACAGTCCCTGGCCGAATGTACGGCCGGGATGGACCCGGACACCTGGAACGCCTACCACATTGTGAGCAACCGCGCCCGTGCCGTCTGCTACACGACCCGCCAGATGCAGTTCAAGCGCCAGACAGAGCACACGGTGAACGCCCTGGTCTCCACGGCCGTCGGCCAGCTGGAGGCTATGAAAATGCTGAAGGTTTGTAGTGCGGGGACTGACGTTCACGAGCTTCCTGAGGAGGTTCTTTTGCATGTTGGGGATTTTTGGTTTAAATGCTCCTGCTTCTTGTAGCTCAGAACTGGACTTCTGGAAGCGGTGGCTTGGCTCTTGGTCCTTCCCTGCTTCCCTTGGGGGCCTGTAAACCTTCCGTTCCCGCGCCTCACCCTTTCCCCTTGCTTCTCTCCTCTCCCCGGGCTCCACCTTCCTTCATTCTCTCCATAAAACCTTCCTTGGTACTCCACTCACTTCTTTCATACTCTTCCTTTTGTTTTCCATCCCTCCTTCCGGCCCCCCTCATTCCCCCTGCTGCGATCTGTAGCCGAGCCTGCATCTCTGGTGCTTTCGACCCTCGACAGGACGGCCAGGAGGAGCTGAAGGAGCTGACGTCCGAGTCCCTGCAGAACGTGGTGAGCGGCCAGCAGGATATGCTGGCCCGGCAGGCCCGGCTCCAGGGCGGCCAGGACCAGATGGAGGAGTCCATCCACAGCAACCTGGACCGGCTGGCTCAGGAGAAGGCGCTGATTGCCAGCGGTCACCAGCAGGTGGCGCAACTGATCGAGGGCATCACCAAGAGGATGGGTGAGGGTCAGACGCAACTGCTCAGGCAGTGGGGGGGGCGGGGATTCCCGGGGATCCTGAGTTGACCTCAGTGCTTCCGAGCACATGTGTACGGACACACATCTGATGCTGCCTGTAAGCATTATATGACCTCCACCTCTTGGGTTTTTAGTGGTTTATCTTTACTTTCTCCCGTAGTTTATAGTTTCCCCTTCCCTATTTTTCTTGTAGGTTTTAGAAAACTAAAAAAACAACAACAAGTGTGTGGACTCTAATCTGGGAGAGCCGGGTATTTCTGGGCACTGGTATTTCTGGCCACTGTGTGATACAGAGTGTTGGACTGGATGGGCCTTTGGCCTGGTCCAACATTGGTGTCTCTTATGTTCTTATGTTAACTCTGACCCTGGGGACAGATGGCAGGATCCTGTGTTGAAGTCAATGCAAAAGGCATCTTACGAGAGCCAGTCTGGTGTGGTGGTTTGGTGCGCGGACTCCAGAGGGCGGCTGCCCCCAAGCAAGGATATTGATTGAGGGGAAGGAAAGGCAAATGAGGTGCTAATTTTCTCTGAAGTTTGTTTTTTGACTCTTATTGTTAAACCAGTCTTGTGCATGGCTCTTTACTAAGTCAGAATATCTGGACTTGAAGCATTGAAGCGATGTTCATGATCACCCACAATGTAACAAATGATATTTTATTATATTCAAAGCTATTTTAATGTAAGCAGTATATGACCTCCACCTCTTCGGTTTTTAGTGGTTTATCTTTACTTTCTCCCGTAGTTTATAGTTTCCCCTTCCCTATTTTTCTTGTAGGTTTTAGAAAACTAGTGCGCGACTCTAATCTGGGAGAGCCGGGTTTGATTCCCCACTCTTCCACTTGCACCTGGCTGGATGGCCTTGGGCAAGCCATAGTTCTGACAAGAGCTGTTCTTGAAAAAGAGCAGTTTCTGTCAGAGCTCTCTCAGCCCCACCTATCTCACCGGGTATCTGTTATGGGGAGGGGAAGGGAAAGGAGATTGTCAGCCGCTCTGAGACTCCTTTGGGTAGTGAAGGGTGGGTTTATCTTTACTTTCTCCCATAGTTTATAGTTTCCCCTTCCCTATATTTCTTGTAGGTTTTAGAAAATAATTTTTTTAAAACAAACAAGTGAGCGGACTCTAATCTGGGAGAACTGGGTGGGATCTATATCCAATCTCCTCTTCTTCTACTTGTTCCCACTAGGCAAGTGTGGCCCAATCTGCGTATATCTGGATCAGTGTTCCCTCTAAGCTGAGTTAGTGTGAGCTAGCTCACAGTTTTTTAGCCTCCGGCTCACACATTTTTGTCTTCGCTCAGGAAGGACGGCTCCAAATCAAACTGATTTATGCAGGAGCCAAATCACTCTCTCACAACTTTAATGCCAGGAGCTCACAAAGTAGAATTTTTGCTCACAAGACTCCACAGCTTAGAGGGAGCATTGATCTGGATCTGCAGGTCTGGGTCACGCTGACTGTGAAGAGATAGTTCTGGGAACTTTGGAGAGACCCCCCCACCCCAAGTGCTGTAAACCTTGGAGACCCCCCCCCCATTTGCAAAAGTATCTGGACACTTTAAAAACATTGGGAGGTTAACATAAGAACATAAGAGTCTTTTCCTGTATGCAGAGTGACTTTACTGGGGGCAGAAGCCAAGACTGGCAGCCTACACAAGAATCCTGGTGCGAGCCGGTGGCTTGTGGGCTTTCGAGTCCATTCTGGGAGTTTCGGGATTGCAAAAGAGCCACCTGTCTCTCCTCCTCCCTCAGAAAATGTAAGCAAGCATCTAGACAACCAAGATACGGACCTGCAAGAAGGGCACAAGGCCATCCTGAAGGACTTGACCCAAGTCCAAGACCGAGCCCAGGAGGTCTACTCCAAACTAGGTATGGAGGCAGAAGACGGGTGAGGGGGGTGGTGGTTGGATTTTGGTCTACCATGCCTTTAACCCTTGCATTACCCCATGGGTCCCCAACATTTTATGGTTGGTTCTGCCTCCCACAGTAGCCATTTTATTGTTATGCCCACCATCTTGTGGCAGAATACCAAAGGTGCCCACAGGCCCCAAAAGACTGGGGACGCCTGTGCTTTGCCCAATGAGCTCCCCTGGCTCCTTCCCAAATCCTGACTCTGTCCTTCCTTCCCAGAGACCAATTTGGGTCTGTTCCTGGCCTATCAGAACCAAACGGCCGTGTACTATGAAGAGCTGATGGGGAAACTGCAGAAGATGAACCAGAGCCTGGGGCTGGTTCTCTTCGCCATGGAGCGGATGCAGAGCAACATGGAGGGGCGGTTCCAACACCTCCAGAGGTTCATCAGCTGGGCAGGTTAGCCGGCTCGAGGGGGGGCGAAAGAGGTCCCCCATGTCTTTCCAGGAAATCTCCAGCAGTACGAGTGGTAACCTTTGGCGTTCATCTGTTTGTGATGAAAGGACATCTTATGATTTACCCCCCAAAGTGCAACAGTGGGAACCCATTCAATAGAAAACAGGCGTCATTTCCTGTGGGAGCGCACAGGAGCGGAGCTCCGGCAGTAAAGAGCCCAGGGGGCTGCAACAAGCCCCGCCCCCTGCTCCCAGCAGCCCTCAGTCAGAGCAAGAAGCAGCCAGGTAAGTTGCAGAGCCCCCCCACCGGCCCGCCTTCAGGTACAAGCTCTCCCTCCCCCGCGAGGGCAGATCTGCACGTTCCCCCCCCCCCCAATAGCTAGCAATCCAAAACAGTCCAGTGGAGCCTGAGCGGTGGGTGTTGCCTTCTGACACAGTGTGCCGACTCTAATCTGGGAGAACCGGGTTTGATTCCCCATTCCTCCACTTGCACCTGCTGATGTGACCTTGGGTCAGTCACAAGCTCTGGCACAGCTGTCCTTGAAAAAGAGCAGTTTGTGTCAGAGTTCTCTCAGCCCCACCCACCTCACAGGGTGTCTGTTGTGGGGAGGGGAAGGGAAAGGAGTTTGTAAGCTGCTCTGAGACTCCAAGTGAAGGGCAGGGTATAAATCTAATCTCTTCTTCTTCTGCTTCCGGTGATGTCAGGGGGTGTGGCATATGCAAACAAGTTATGCTAATGAGTTGTGCTAATGAGCCCCTGCACCTCTTTTTCTACGAAATGACCCGATACAAACATAAATGAATAATTCCCAAGGCATTCTGGAGATCATGAGAGGGAGGGCAGGAAGGGACGATTCAGTGGTCAGCTCTGAGTCGTGGCCCTTTCTTATATGCCCAGAGTAATGCCGGTCGGCACTTTGGGATCAGGAAGGGATTTTCCTCCAGACCAGATCGGCCCATGGATCCTGGAGGTTTTTCTGCCTTCCTCTGGGCATAGAGCAGGCGTCACTGGGGGAGCCGGGGGGGGAGGCATTGTGCAGGGGGTTGGACTGGATGACCCTTGGGGTTCCCTTCCAGCTCTATGTTTCTGTCTTCATTGGAAGAAACTGTAGAACACCAGCAGAAGTGTATGCACACATACTGGTTTTGTGGTTCTCCAACAGAGCTATTTGAAATGAAGCAGAGGGTATGGGTTCATTAGCAGCCCAAATAGGCCAGATTATAGAAGAAGAAGAAGAGATTGGATTTATACCCCGCCCTTGACTTAGAGTCTCAGAGCATCTTACAATCTCCTTTCCCTTCCCCTTCCCACAAAACAGACACCCTGTGAGGTGGGTGGGGCTGAGAGAACTCTGACACAAACTGCTCTTTTTCAAGAACAGCTGTGCCAGAACCATGGCTTGCCCAAGGACATCCAGCAGCTGCAAGTGGAGGAGTGGGGAATCAAACCCGGTTCTCCCAGATTAGAGTCCGCACACTTAACCACTACACCAAACTGGCTCTGAAGAAAGCTAAGCAGGGCCAGCCATGGTAATTATTTAGATAGGAGGCCACACAGAAAGACCCGGGTTGCTATGCAGAGAAAGGCAATTACAAGCTACTTTTGCTTCTCTCTTGAGAATCAAAAGACAGGTTGCCATAATGTCAGTTGTCCCAAATATACAAATTCCACTAGTAGAAAACACAATCAAAGATTGTCAAACAATATATTAAACAGATTATAAAGTTGGTGGTGTCATAACAACAACATTAGTGCATACTGTAACTCAGGGGTCACTTTGTAGAAAAAGAGGTGCAGGAGCTCATTAGCATAACTCATTAGCATATGTCACACCCCCTGACCAATGCTCCCTCTAAGCTGTGGAGTCTTGTGTGCAAAAATTCTACTTTGTGAGCTACTGGCATTAAAGTTGTGAGCGAGCCATTTGGCTGCTGCATGCATTAGTTTGCTCTGGAGCCCTCCTTCCCGAGCTAAGTCAAAAATGTGTGATCTGGAGATTAAAAAACTGTAAGCTCACTCACACTAACTCAGCTTAGAGGGAACACTGCCCCTGACATCACCGGAAGTGTGTCAGAAGGCAACACCCACCGCTCAGGCTCGACTGGACTCTTTTGGATTGCTAGCTATTGGGGGGGGGGGGGCACGTGGGACTCTG